CAGCATGGTCAATAAATACTTTCTCTTTTTCTCTTCTTCCCTGTTTACTTCCTCTCCTTTTCAGTCTCTGTCCATGTCATTCTCTCTCTCTACCTCATAAAAACAAATTAGACTGGCAGGGGCCCCAGTCTCTTCACTAAAAGACCTCCTTGATGCTGCTTTTTCAAAGAGAAACTTGTTCACCTGGGACACAAGTCTTCATGTGACATGGGCAAGCCAAAAAAGTGATTCTCATAAAAATCTAAAGTGTGGATGTTATCGGAGTCATAAATAGTGCTGCTTTATGTATGTCTTCTTTTCTCTCTTTTAAACAGAAAAAGACAAATGAATGGGGAAAGACAATCATCGAATACAGAACAAATAAGCCATCTCGCCTGCCCTTCCTTGATATTGCACCTTTGGACATTGGTGGCAATGACCAAGAATTCCGTGTGGACCTTGGCCCCGTCTGTTTCAAATAAATGAACTCTACCTAAATTAAAAAAAAAAAAGAAATCTGAAAATAAATTTTGCTCTTTACCATTTCTTCTTTTTTCTTTTTAACTGAAAGCTGAATCCTTCCACTTCTGCACAACTACTTGTTTAAATTGTGGGCAAAAGAGAAGGAGAAGGATTGATCAGAGCATTGTGCAATACAATTTAATTAACTTCCTCTCCCTCTCCCCCCTCCCCAAAAGATTTGGATTTTTTTTTCAACACTCTTACACCTGTTGTGGAAAATGTCAACCTTTGTAAGAAAACCAAAATAAAAATTGAAAAATAAAATAAAAACCATGAACACGTGCACCACTTGTGGCTTTTGAATATCTTCCACAGAGGGAAGTTTAAGACCCAAACTTCCAAAGGCTTAAACTACCTCAAAACACTTTCCTGTGAGTGTGATCCACATCCTTTAGGTGCTGACCTATACAGAGATGAACTGAGGTACTTATTTTGTTTTGTTCATAATGCAAAGGTGCTAACTAATAGTGTTTCAGATACTTGAAGAATGTTGATGGTGCTAGAAAATTTTGCGAAGAAATACTCCTCTGTATTGAGTTGTGTCATGTGTTTTTTTATTTGATTTAGCATCCATATTTTCCATCTTGTCACCAAAAGTATGCAGATCATTTGCCCAAGGTTGTCCTCTTCTTTAGATTCAGCATTTGTTCTTTGCCAGTCTCATTTTCATCCTTTTCGGTGGTTCCAAAGAATCCTGGTTTCTTGGACAAGCAGAAACATTAAATTGTACCTATTTTGTATATGTGAGATGTTTAAATAAATTGTGGAGAAAAATGAAATAAAGCATGTTTGGTTTTCCAAAAGAAAATATTGAGTAAAATTCCTTGCTTCAATGCTCTTGGCAATGTAATATGCATCTCTACCAGCCATTAGACCAAGTGCCTCTCATTAGATAGAAATTATGCAAAAAGGGCAGTTTGGTATGGTAGAAAGAGCAGGGAACAAGGACCCAGGAGATCCGAGCTCCAATTCTGTCTCTGCTCATTTTGGTTGAAGGACCTTGAGTCTCTGAGCCTCTGTGTTTTTGTTTTCATAGTTATGATTCGGGGAAGATTCCTTCTCTTCCTATTAAACATTTGCCCTACTCAGAATGTGTAATACTTAAGCAACATGGCATTGTTGAGCTAAGTTTGCTATAAGCAAAGGTCCATAGAAATTTCTGGTTTATTGTCTATTAAACACTTGTAATGGTGGCTGAAAGTCGGTCTATGCACAATTAATGCTATGAACTAAAACAGTTTCAAATATTCAGTAAAAATGCCATCCACTTACATTTGATGCAACTGAGCACAATGCCTCTTAAGAGATAATGGGTGTGCTGTCAATCAGCATAGACAGTTGTGGGTAATAGTACCATGAACACCTACCTGTCAAATCAAGTTCAGTTTCCTCCCCTGCACCTTTCACTGACATCTTTAATACACTTAAACATAGTAATGTGACAAGTAAAATGTTAAAATTCATATAGAACTTATTTCCGGTTGCAGAACGTAACTATGATTGTAATGTTTGCCCCCTGTTATAAGTCATCTCAAGATTTAATTAGTTTTCAAAGGAAAAGACTGAACATAAGGAAAAAAATCTAACATTAAAGAGTCATTAGCAAGGTTTACTAACCAAATAATAATGCTGAATCTTGGTCCTTCCACCACTTGAGTCAGAACACTGAGATGTTTGTTAAATGCGGATTCACAGTCCTCATCCACAAAGTTCAGATTTAGTAAGGAATCAGTATTCTTCAGCATCCTGTAAAATTCTGTTGTGCACCAATTAGGAACCACTGGATAAGATTACTTCCACAGTCCTTTGTAGCTCTAACATCCTATCTCACAAGAATGAATCAATATACCTGATCAAATGATATAAAGAAAACTAAACCCTGGCATCAAAATGCTAGTACTCCCTCAACATTAATCATTGTAATGGCCAGGGCAAATGTGCATGATAAGGCAGTTAGAAATCTCTGGATTAAATATGAATTATGCTCTTAGGCTTATGGTACAAGGAAGAAAACCAGCATTTGTTGAGTACTAACTGTGGGCCAAACAATGTGTTAGAAAATAATGACCTTTGTCAAATTGAATTGAATCAGCAGATTTCCTAAGCCAATAGTTAATAATTACTTACTCATCAGCATGAGAGCATAGAAAAAAATGTTAAATAATGGTCTATATCATAGGTAGCAATGAGGAAACAATAAGTAATGATGAAAAAACAAACTATGATACAGCAATAGGATGCAAAGTGAGATACATTTTGGAGGCTTAATAGTATTTTCTTTTTAGAATTATTTATTTAATTTTATTTATTACTATTCTTTTTAATTTGAACAGAGAGAGACAGAGAGAGAAAAGGAAAGTGAGAAAGCAAGCCAACAGGTTCAAAGCAAACCACAGTCGGCTACATGAGAATCCAGCACACCAACTACCATGCCACTTGCCAGTCCCCAGATGGCATTTTTTAAGGGTGAATAAACAAAATAAAAACTGCTTAGAATAGAATGTTCAGTCTTTATAATAGTCAAGTACATTACTATTAGAAATGTATTAAATATGCGTATAAAAGTGCTATGAGTGGGCCTGTTCCATGGCTTGGTGGTTAAGGCAGCCTGATCCCACATAACTAACTTTTGAGTCCTGGACCCAGAGGCTGGAGACTCTGTGCACATGTGTACACATGCCTAAAATCCCTCAAGGAGAGAGAGATGGAGAACAAGGGATTGTGACATGACCATTTCCCAATAAAAGATGCTTTCTCCTCTCTCTCTTTCTCTGTCTCTCTGACTCTAGTGTATACATGTACTCTATAGCTGCTAGCAAAAATAATAATAATTTAATCATAATAATAATGCTTAGTGTAGGTGCGTGAGTATAGTAAGGTTAGGAATGATTTTTATGCCTAAAGTTTTCAAAGTTGCTATAATGAAATTACTTTTGTCATCTACAACAAATTTACTCTTAAAATATTATAACAAGGAAGATGCAGTCAACAAGTGAAAACAATAGTGGTTGAGGAGTGACCATCTGGTCAACCTCCCACGTGACTATTTCTAGCCACAGAAAGGAAAGCCTGCCCAGAAAGTCATCATTTCCCATGTACCCACCCTGAGAGACACTGGAGAAGGTGTACAAAGCTGTATCAGGCAGCAGCATCCTCAGGGATCTCACAGTTCAAATGCAGAGACAGAGTAAAATAATGTGTGAAACAGAATTTTAAACAAAATGTCCTCCGAGGATAGCAGAGGACACTATTAATTAATTAGAGGGAAGCTCAGGAAATTAACCTTACTCTTATGCAGTAACAGTGATATTTTGATTGACTGGCCTCCCTTGCTAGTTATTTAACTTCACCTTCAAATCTGTCTAGCTAAATGTGTCTTCTCTAGAACATACAAGCGAGGAGAGCCGCTGTGAATGTTCCCAGGTCCTGGCCTTGAAAAATGGACATAGAACAATCCAGTGAAGGCTTACCCTTCCATGACCAGCCCCCTTAGAAGCTAACACAAAACCCAAGGGATATTCCTCACAACCTTCTGGACCCTTCACTGAGTAAAGGTCAGGCACCTCTAACTTGTGTGAGAGGGAAGAAGATTGCACATGAGAGAGGGAAAGAACAGGTAACCAAGATCGGTGGAGGAAATATTAATCAAGCCCAGTAGAAAGGGTCATTTAAAATTCAAAAATCAATATAGCTAATGTGCTGGCAAAGAGCAAAGACACCTGAGCAATGCTGAACACACTTATTATCTTTAAAGCCTGTTTTATGCTATTCCACTTAATATCACTGAAAAAGAAGTTCAAACAGTGGATTGTATATAAAAAATCAAAATATTTTTATTTTTAATATAAATATAAAAATTTTATATAAAATTATATATAAAAGTTGGAAGTGTCATTCTGGGTCAGAACAATATTCTATCTAGGTGAATACTTTGCCTTTGACAGTGGCACCAGGGGAAATTTGGAAGAAAGAGTGGTTGGCACTTCTCATGAAGCCAGCCTCACAACTCCCATTTAATAAGCTATTGTAAATCTCTTTTGTACATAGATGTATCTAAACCCTTCCAGAGCCCTCTATCTGTTTTGAAATATGTTGGTATTACAGTACCAACAAGAGAGCGCTAATGCTGAATTGTTGGCTCAGCTTTCTGGCCCCCTGATCAAGTAGCTAAAATATATTTCCTATCACTGTGCCCTGATCAGCCAAGGATTCAACAACTCCATATCCTCAGGGAACACCAGCAACTGCAGCAATGGGGCCCTAAACAGCCATAATGATTGACTTATCCCTGAGGTTCAGTGAAATGAGTACACAATTTGTGGTCAGCAGCCAAAGCGATGAGCACTAGCTCCACCACTGACTAGCCAAAGGCCCTTGGGAAAGGCTCTAAAGTTCCCTGAGAATTGGTTTTACATACCTGTGCTCAGAGATTTTTATTAGCATACCTACTCAACCTGTCTCACAGAACCTTTGTGGGGACCCTATGTGGAAGGAGGGACCTCCAAGGAAATGGCTACTCAACTTGCCTTCATGCGCCTGCTAGCCAACTATGCCTCTCAAAACATCACCTACCACTGCAAGAACAGCATTGCCTACATGGATGAGGAGACTGGCAACCTGAAAAAGGCTGTCATTCTGCAGGGCTCCAATGATGTTGAACTTGTTGCCGAGGGCAACAGCAGATTCACTTACACTGTTCTTGTAGATGGCTGCTCTGTAAGTAATAGTGAAACATGGGAATAGCATTTGCTTGGGGTGGTGAGGGAGAGTTACTTGGGGGGAGTTCTAGCTTATAGCTTAGACTATTAAATTAACCTGTGAATGGGAGACCTAACATATTCAATCTTTTTTTTTATAAATGTATTTACTTAAATTCAGATGGTAAATCTAGAGTTATTTTTATCAGATATTGTTTTCTGAAATATTGAATACATGTAATGCCTGTGCATAGTTCATTTTCCCTCTAATGTGAATTTCTTAAATGGTGCTATATGCCCAGAATTTAAAATTCTTGAGGTTTAAAGGGCCTAAATTATAGCTTATAGCTGTATGCATTTTATTTTACTTATTAATATGGTATACACTTGATGTTTGATTTATGATTTCTCTACATTATGCTATACATAGAAGAAAAATTAAGGGACCAGCATTTGGTATAATGGCAATGTTGCTGGACTCCCATGTAGTCAACCGCAGTTCGAGTCCCAGACCTGTGGCTTAAACTCACGTAGAGCACATGTGCATGTGTGCCCAAAATCCCAAGAGGAGAATGGAAGAGAAGGGATTGTAGCATGGCCATCTCCCCGGGGCGGGGGGGGGGAAGGGGTATTTCTCTCACAGAGAACAAGGACCTAGGAAATCTGAGCTCCAATTCTGTCTCTGCTCATTTTGGCTGAATGACCTTGAGCCGCTGAGCCTCTCTGTCTCTCTGTCTCTCTCTATCTTTCTGGCAAGTGCACATGCCCTATAGCAAAAATCTCTCAAAAAAATAGAAAAAAATAGAAAAATTAAAAGTCCCCAAAAGCAATGTTGAATATCTCCCTAATTCTTTCCCAGTACTCACTCACTCACACATACACACTAATCCTGAAAATGATATAATAGAAGCAAGTTACTTAGAAAGTGTGTTGAAATATTTCTTAAAAATTGTACTGGTAGGGGCTGCACACCTATAGCACTAGCTAATTGGGAGGCTAGGACAGGAGGATTGCAGCATGGTCAATAAATACTTTCTCTTTTTCTCTTCTTCCCTGTTTACTTCCTCTCCTTTTCAGTCTCTGTCCATGTCATTCTCTCTCTCTACCTCATAAAAACAAATTAGACTGGCAGGGGCCCCAGTCTCTTCACTAAAAGACCTCCTTGATGCTGCTTTTTCAAAGAGAAACTTGTTCACCTGGGACACAAGTCTTCATGTGACATGGGCAAGCCAAAAAAGTGATTCTCATAAAAATCTAAAGTGTGGATGTTATCGGAGTCATAAATAGTGCTGCTTTATGTATGTCTTCTTTTCTCTCTTTTAAACAGAAAAAGACAAATGAATGGGGAAAGACAATCATCGAATACAGAACAAATAAGCCATCTCGCCTGCCCTTCCTTGATATTGCACCTTTGGACATTGGTGGCAATGACCAAGAATTCCGTGTGGACCTTGGCCCCGTCTGTTTCAAATAAATGAACTCTACCTAAATTAAAAAAAAAAAAGAAATCTGAAAATAAATTTTGCTCTTTACCATTTCTTCTTTTTTCTTTTTAACTGAAAGCTGAATCCTTCCACTTCTGCACAACTACTTGTTTAAATTGTGGGCAAAAGAGAAGGAGAAGGATTGATCAGAGCATTGTGCAATACAATTTAATTAACTTCCTCTCCCTCTCCCCCCTCCCCAAAAGATTTGGATTTTTTTTTCAACACTCTTACACCTGTTGTGGAAAATGTCAACCTTTGTAAGAAAACCAAAATAAAAATTGAAAAATAAAATAAAAACCATGAACACGTGCACCACTTGTGGCTTTTGAATATCTTCCACAGAGGGAAGTTTAAGACCCAAACTTCCAAAGGCTTAAACTACCTCAAAACACTTTCCTGTGAGTGTGATCCACATCCTTTAGGTGCTGACCTATACAGAGATGAACTGAGGTACTTATTTTGTTTTGTTCATAATGCAAAGGTGCTAACTAATAGTGTTTCAGATACTTGAAGAATGTTGATGGTGCTAGAAAATTTTGCGAAGAAATACTCCTCTGTATTGAGTTGTGTCATGTGTTTTTTTATTTGATTTAGCATCCATATTTTCCATCTTGTCACCAAAAGTATGCAGATCATTTGCCCAAGGTTGTCCTCTTCTTTAGATTCAGCATTTGTTCTTTGCCAGTCTCATTTTCATCCTTTTCGGTGGTTCCAAAGAATCCTGGTTTCTTGGACAAGCAGAAACATTAAATTGTACCTATTTTGTATATGTGAGATGTTTAAATAAATTGTGGAGAAAAATGAAATAAAGCATGTTTGGTTTTCCAAAAGAAAATATTGAGTAAAATTCCTTGCTTCAATGCTCTTGGCAATGTAATATGCATCTCTACCAGCCATTAGACCAAGTGCCTCTCATTAGATAGAAATTATGCAAAAAGGGCAGTTTGGTATGGTAGAAAGAGCAGGGAACAAGGACCCAGGAGATCCGAGCTCCAATTCTGTCTCTGCTCATTTTGGTTGAAGGACCTTGAGTCTCTGAGCCTCTGTGTTTTTGTTTTCATAGTTATGATTCGGGGAAGATTCCTTCTCTTCCTATTAAACATTTGCCCTACTCAGAATGTGTAATACTTAAGCAACATGGCATTGTTGAGCTAAGTTTGCTATAAGCAAAGGTCCATAGAAATTTCTGGTTTATTGTCTATTAAACACTTGTAATGGTGGCTGAAAGTCGGTCTATGCACAATTAATGCTATGAACTAAAACAGTTTCAAATATTCAGTAAAAATGCCATCCACTTACATTTGATGCAACTGAGCACAATGCCTCTTAAGAGATAATGGGTGTGCTGTCAATCAGCATAGACAGTTGTGGGTAATAGTACCATGAACACCTACCTGTCAAATCAAGTTCAGTTTCCTCCCCTGCACCTTTCACTGACATCTTTAATACACTTAAACATAGTAATGTGACAAGTAAAATGTTAAAATTCATATAGAACTTATTTCCGGTTGCAGAACGTAACTATGATTGTAATGTTTGCCCCCTGTTATAAGTCATCTCAAGATTTAATTAGTTTTCAAAGGAAAAGACTGAACATAAGGAAAAAAATCTAACATTAAAGAGTCATTAGCAAGGTTTACTAACCAAATAATAATGCTGAATCTTGGTCCTTCCACCACTTGAGTCAGAACACTGAGATGTTTGTTAAATGCGGATTCACAGTCCTCATCCACAAAGTTCAGATTTAGTAAGGAATCAGTATTCTTCAGCATCCTGTAAAATTCTGTTGTGCACCAATTAGGAACCACTGGATAAGATTACTTCCACAGTCCTTTGTAGCTCTAACATCCTATCTCACAAGAATGAATCAATATACCTGATCAAATGATATAAAGAAAACTAAACCCTGGCATCAAAATGCTAGTACTCCCTCAACATTAATCATTGTAATGGCCAGGGCAAATGTGCATGATAAGGCAGTTAGAAATCTCTGGATTAAATATGAATTATGCTCTTAGGCTTATGGTACAAGGAAGAAAACCAGCATTTGTTGAGTACTAACTGTGGGCCAAACAATGTGTTAGAAAATAATGACCTTTGTCAAATTGAATTGAATCAGCAGATTTCCTAAGCCAATAGTTAATAATTACTTACTCATCAGCATGAGAGCATAGAAAAAAATGTTAAATAATGGTCTATATCATAGGTAGCAATGAGGAAACAATAAGTAATGATGAAAAAACAAACTATGATACAGCAATAGGATGCAAAGTGAGATACATTTTGGAGGCTTAATAGTATTTTCTTTTTAGAATTATTTATTTAATTTTATTTATTACTATTCTTTTTAATTTGAACAGAGAGAGACAGAGAGAGAAAAGGAAAGTGAGAAAGCAAGCCAACAGGTTCAAAGCAAACCACAGTCGGCTACATGAGAATCCAGCACACCAACTACCATGCCACTTGCCAGTCCCCAGATGGCATTTTTTAAGGGTGAATAAACAAAATAAAAACTGCTTAGAATAGAATGTTCAGTCTTTATAATAGTCAAGTACATTACTATTAGAAATGTATTAAATATGCGTATAAAAGTGCTATGAGTGGGCCTGTTCCATGGCTTGGTGGTTAAGGCAGCCTGATCCCACATAACTAACTTTTGAGTCCTGGACCCAGAGGCTGGAGACTCTGTGCACATGTGTACACATGCCTAAAATCCCTCAAGGAGAGAGAGATGGAGAACAAGGGATTGTGACATGACCATTTCCCAATAAAAGATGCTTTCTCCTCTCTCTCTTTCTCTGTCTCTCTGACTCTAGTGTATACATGTACTCTATAGCTGCTAGCAAAAATAATAATAATTTAATCATAATAATAATGCTTAGTGTAGGTGCGTGAGTATAGTAAGGTTAGGAATGATTTTTATGCCTAAAGTTTTCAAAGTTGCTATAATGAAATTACTTTTGTCATCTACAACAAATTTACTCTTAAAATATTATAACAAGGAAGATGCAGTCAACAAGTGAAAACAATAGTGGTTGAGGAGTGACCATCTGGTCAACCTCCCACGTGACTATTTCTAGCCACAGAAAGGAAAGCCTGCCCAGAAAGTCATCATTTCCCATGTACCCACCCTGAGAGACACTGGAGAAGGTGTACAAAGCTGTATCAGGCAGCAGCATCCTCAGGGATCTCACAGTTCAAATGCAGAGACAGAGTAAAATAATGTGTGAAACAGAATTTTAAACAAAATGTCCTCCGAGGATAGCAGAGGACACTATTAATTAATTAGAGGGAAGCTCAGGAAATTAACCTTACTCTTATGCAGTAACAGTGATATTTTGATTGACTGGCCTCCCTTGCTAGTTATTTAACTTCACCTTCAAATCTGTCTAGCTAAATGTGTCTTCTCTAGAACATACAAGCGAGGAGAGCCGCTGTGAATGTTCCCAGGTCCTGGCCTTGAAAAATGGACATAGAACAATCCAGTGAAGGCTTACCCTTCCATGACCAGCCCCCTTAGAAGCTAACACAAAACCCAAGGGATATTCCTCACAACCTTCTGGACCCTTCACTGAGTAAAGGTCAGGCACCTCTAACTTGTGTGAGAGGGAAGAAGATTGCACATGAGAGAGGGAAAGAACAGGTAACCAAGATCGGTGGAGGAAATATTAATCAAGCCCAGTAGAAAGGGTCATTTAAAATTCAAAAATCAATATAGCTAATGTGCTGGCAAAGAGCAAAGACACCTGAGCAATGCTGAACACACTTATTATCTTTAAAGCCTGTTTTATGCTATTCCACTTAATATCACTGAAAAAGAAGTTCAAACAGTGGATTGTATATAAAAAATCAAAATATTTTTATTTTTAATATAAATATAAAAATTTTATATAAAATTATATATAAAAGTTGGAAGTGTCATTCTGGGTCAGAACAATATTCTATCTAGGTGAATACTTTGCCTTTGACAGTGGCACCAGGGGAAATTTGGAAGAAAGAGTGGTTGGCACTTCTCATGAAGCCAGCCTCACAACTCCCATTTAATAAGCTATTGTAAATCTCTTTTGTACATAGATGTATCTAAACCCTTCCAGAGCCCTCTATCTGTTTTGAAATATGTTGGTATTACAGTACCAACAAGAGAGCGCTAATGCTGAATTGTTGGCTCAGCTTTCTGGCCCCCTGATCAAGTAGCTAAAATATATTTCCTATCACTGTGCCCTGATCAGCCAAGGATTCAACAACTCCATATCCTCAGGGAACACCAGCAACTGCAGCAATGGGGCCCTAAACAGCCATAATGATTGACTTATCCCTGAGGTTCAGTGAAATGAGTACACAATTTGTGGTCAGCAGCCAAAGCGATGAGCACTAGCTCCACCACTGACTAGCCAAAGGCCCTTGGGAAAGGCTCTAAAGTTCCCTGAGAATTGGTTTTACATACCTGTGCTCAGAGATTTTTATTAGCATACCTACTCAACCTGTCTCACAGAACCTTTGTGGGGACCCTACAGAGCTTTTGTGAAAGCACTGAATCTTTATAAGCAGAAATGTTACTTGTTTTCCTTAGATTAAAAATTTTCAATCACTGGCTCTAATCACTCAGTTTAATCTCTTGTAATTGGCCCTCTAGTTCAGGGAGAGAAGACTACAATTTAAATTTTTCAAGTTTTTTTTTTTTTTTCTATAAGTGAGAGAAAAAAAATAGAGAAAGCTCTCCTAACGAGGTTTTAATGTCATAATTCATGCCTAGCTTCAGCCAGCCCCAGAGCACAGGAACATGTATACCTGGCGAATGCTGGGAGGTCTTTGGATGTGAACCCAGAACCTCTCCAGGTAAGTCAGCCTCTCGCAGTATCATGTTGTTCAGCTGTACCACCATCTCACAACCCAAATTTAAATCTGATTAGCACCACTCTCTAAATTGACAGCCTATCACTCTTGAGTTGTACCTCCCTATCAGTAAAACATTTGAACTCCTACAACTAATTTTATGTATCTACATATAAATATTATGCATATATTATGGAATTAATATGTGCAATATAAAACCTCTAAGCAAAAAAACTTTAAAAAGACAGAAAATACATACTAATAGGGAAGTTCATACTCTAGTGGATCATTTTGCACTCTTTGTGGGGTAAATGCACTCCAGATTCATTTTAGAGACTAGTAAAGAAGGACTTACGATTGGCTTCTAGGGAAGTGCAGCACATCAATGAACTCCTAAGATAGCATGTTTTGTATGTATACGGGACCAGTAGATAGCGTAATGATTATGTTGCTGGACTTCCACATGGTCAACTGCAGTT